AAAAAAAAAAATGGTAAAAATATATTACTTTCGTTATAAGCAAGCAAAAAGAATGCAATACAACCTCCTTGGTCCAAATCGTAGGTCCAAAAACAGCAGATACGAGATGAATGAACATAATCGTAAATTGAGCTTCTGTGACATCAACTTTCCCAAACCTCAATGAGCCTGAAATTATATTAGAAATAAGCAGTCCTTGCTTTAAAAGGTATTTAAAGTAAATTAATCATTTTTAATTGATTTTTTGCCAATGCCGACATTTGGAGTTAGGCTAATTGATGTATTTTTACCAATTGAAAAATAAATTAATATTTACCTGAAACGTATGTTTGCCAATGAGCACAGTAGAAAAGAGTCATGGCACAGAAACATTGGAAAAACATCCATGTTGGATGATAGCCCAGTTGTACAGCAATGCATGCAGATAAAGCAACAAATACTAAAAATATAAAAAATATACTTAATATCAGAATTGCTTTTATAAGAAAACGTTATTTACATATATATATTTTTTGTTTGTAATTTTCACATCAGCTAATCACGTAAAGTGTGTTGCGTTAACTTAAAACCGTTTAACTTTCAAATATTGATTGATATAGAATAAAAAAAATGTATTAATTGCTTTTGGATTTTTTTTTATGCATTAATAACTCATTAAGCATGTAAATAAAAAGTTTATAAGTATTGAGTATTGGAAATCGAGCTTTTTAAAAACTCCTGTGTGTATACCTGATAGTAGGTATTGTGTTACCGTGCTGATACGGCTTTCTTTGTATCTGTTTTCTTTTGTTTTGTAACTGATAAGAGCCAACAAATCCATTTTGCGAGAAAACACAAATAAGTTTCAATTTTCATCAGAAAAAATGCTTTTTTTGCTCTTCATTAGTAATAAACGGTTTTTAGTTGCACTCCGTGTAATAAAAAACAAACGTTATTTCACCAAGTTATATTATTTTCTTGGCAGCTGATTAATCGAAGAACGCACCTGTTGAAATGGAATCGCAGCCGTGGTCAAAAAGTTCACCCAGTGGTGAAGAAGTTCCTGTTCTCCTAGCCTGTTTTCCATCAATTGCATCTAGACTTTGATAAATAAAGAGACCGACAGCACACAGGAAACAAGCCCATCTTGGTGGCTAGTGACAAGATATATGTGTTTAATTAGCCATCTAAGAGTACCTATTATCTTGACTAGAGAAATTTTGCTTTGTCATGTACATGTGTACATAGTCAATTGTGTCCACAATAGATTTTTTCCAGAAAATAATTTTCCATTTATTGGAAGGTGGTTTTCTGCATGAGTGATAAAGCGTTTCCAGGAGAAAAATAGACTCTACTTTTTAAAATTATCAAGTAGGAAAAGAAAAAATACGATAAGCACTATTTAAAGGATTACAGAAATAAATAAAAAACATAACTCTAAAAATAGACTCTACTTTTTAAAATTATCAAGTAGGAAAAGAAAAAATACGATAAGCACTATTTAAAGGATTACAGAAATAAATAAAAAACATAACATTTTATACAATTAAATAAAATTCATATTGATTATTTCTACATAAATATGTATTTTACAGGTGTATGAAAAAAAATTTTACAGTCAATTGAAACTTGATTAATGTGAATACAGTTGTGAACAAAAAATGTGTCTTCAGTCACGTAGAATGTTTAAAAATTGTTAGGATCAACGTAAAAATTGAAAGACATTAGATCTAATTGCTCCGAAGGTGAAACCAAGAATAGTAAATGATGATTCAAGAACTTGAGATACAGAGTGCACAAATACACGCTTATGATTATTTATCGGAGCAGGTACTCTAAACAACATGATTATAGCCTGGTGGTACATTAATGTCAATGTTACAACTAAGGTGAAAATTTGAACATTAAAAAAATAAATAAATAAAGACTGTTAGTAAAGAGAATCACAGTATTTTTAAATTATTTAAATGTAAATAACATTAACAACAAAGTAGTAATACAATAATAAATACATGCGCATCTACGTCGTTTATTAGCTGGCTCATGCATTGCAGAACTTGTATACTTGTTCCTTTAAATTCTGGCCTTAAGAGTTAAGCGAGTATACAAGACATAGTTGACATAGTTGAAAAGAAAAAACGATAAGCGATTTTTAATCGACGTCATCGTGTCACCCGATGTGCCAGGATAAAACAATATGGAGAAAAATATTCAAAACATCGACAATCAACAAATGGCGCCATTAGCGTACATAATTAATTTATAAAATAGTTATAAACGCACTTGCTCGTTATTTCTAAATAATTACGACAAAAACTTTCGAAAATATTAATTTAGATACCACTGGTATGAAATGAAAGTAAGGCCCCCAAGAAATTGCAACTAAGTAGTTTAATGACCCATATGCTATTAGGCGAACCGAAGTACGTATTTATTAAATAAAATATTCAAACAAAAAACGAACTCGAAAGGTGAAAAATAAAATATACTTTCTCAATCAGCGCAAATATATTACACACAAAAGACGTTATAGAGAGAAGTAACAAGGCAATATGTTTATGTACCTATAAATACAAAGTGACGAGAGCAGGGGTAAAAGAGACAAATAAGTAGTTATAGGTAAATACAATAATCTTACCTCGACCTTGGCATCAGGACTGTACCAAATGAGTACAAGGGTCGTGACGATGTTGATAATGAGGCCGAGCACGGTTATAAGGTTAGGCGCGAGCCAAATCGGCACCTTGCTCACCAGCCAATTCCACCAGGGCTGTAACGAGCCGTCCAGGATGCTGCAGCTCGTGCAGCTGTACTTGTGCTCGCCGAGCCGCCTCAGCTGGCCGGCGGACATAATTTTTTCCTTGTTGAAGAGCTGCAGCATTTTTGATGTATTGTGTGCAGATGATGTACTTGAGGTATATCGTCCAGTGGACGAGGTCCACTATACACCGATCAAAACCTCAGCTCGACAACACTGTGTAAACAACTTTCTGCAACCCACGCGGGTGAAATAACTATATTTTGTATACACCCCGAAGAAGAGAGAGTAACCGCACTCGCGCGCGGTGGTGGACGTGCAGGTAACGACGACCGACGACACTATCGCAACGTCGACGAGAATATCGTAAACGAAGTAAAAGTAAACACTCCGACGAGTTATGCTTGATAATTTTATTGTCCTGTGTACACCCAACCTGATAATTGAATTATATAGAGATGTTGTGCGTTGTGATAACAACAAGGCTGATTGATTATTGAATGGGGCCAGATAAGGTAACTGATAAGTGTTACGATGAACGGGATGTGCGTGGAAACGACACGAAACCGCGAGTCCGAGTTCACCTCATGAAAAACTGAAATTATAAATATGTGCTGAATCTATAAGGGGGTGGTGGGGGCTGTTCCGAAGCGAAGCAACTCCAACTCTTCGACAACAGCTGATATTATGAGACATATCCGGAAGTACGAGCCCCGTTAGATGGCGCTGATGCTGATCTCATGTGGGGATCTGGGGATCTGGGGATGAGTGCTCGAGGGGCAAGATCCGGTTGTCCGGGTCGGTTTGGTCCCACTTCTGCCGTTAGCGTGTCTCTTCGGCGTACTTACTTGCGTTTTGGCTCTCTGCCTAGATTGATTTCCGGTGTTTTAGATGACACCACACTGTTAACGCAACTGACTTGCGGCGCAGCGCAAGACGCCAGACCGGGTCACCGGGACGAATGAGAGGGGGGATAGCCCCCACACTAAGACCACGTGATACAGAGCGGCAAGTACAAAACTTGTTTACAATGTTGGTACATTAATATTATATTATTGTTAATGTTTACCAAAATTTCGTGTCCTGCAATAAAAATATTTAAGTAAATAAAATATGTTAATGGTGGAGTAAAGCCTTTTGAAGAAGGAAGCATAATTTTAAATTTGAATCATGTTTTACTAAATGGTCGTTACAAAAACTCTAAAACGGGATTACATAAATACTGTACTCTGTGTTTGCAATCGTCTAAAATATTTGGAAGTACATAGATAAATTAGATTAATTAACAGTGAATGTGTACTTTGTGTCAATAAGTACACATTATTTTCAGCTCAGGATTTTTAGGGATAATACGTACTTATTTTTACTTTGTACTTGGTAATATTTTTACAATCCATTACCAATATGTAAGACAAGACCGCATCTTTTATTTTCTTTTGCTTCACACGGCATGTTATATGTTTGGTTTGCGCGTACACCTGTCAAATTCAAATGTCACTATATTATTGTCACCGCAGGTTATATGTTTACAATCACTTGCAGACGACAAAGAGTAACGGCGTATAACCCTTTTGAAGTGAGAAATTGCGAATACAGCCGGGTGTGTAAACTTTCATAACAAACACTGAATGTTGTGAATAACAAAAAAAAAAAACGTCGGTCAATCATGATAAATCCAACAAGAATGTTGCAAGGCTTGAAACTAAGTGGCAAGCTTCTTCGACTGTACAAAGCACCACAGTTATACAGACCCTTTTTATCCGAAGCCTACCAGTGTCGAGAAGCATGGGACAAAAGATTTAACTCTGAGTTGCTCAATCAGATCAGCCCTATCGATTTCTTCATTGAATTGGACCAAAAATTTCAAGCAGACAACCCTGTCCATGCTGTGGACATGGACATTTTTGCAAGCATCATCAAGGACGAGAGTCATGCCCCAGAGATTGCGGATTTACTCCACAAATTTAGAATGACCAAACAGACAAGTTTCACTCTGGATTCGATGCACCATGCGGTTGTCAAGTATTTTTTGAGTGTAAGTTCTACTTATAATGAGACCTGGGAATATCATCTGTAAGATATTTTTAATCTTTCTATCATTTCAGATAGGAAAAGCCAATGAAGTTGTCAGTATGTTAAACGATAGATTGAATTATGGATTATTTTGTGACAACTTTGAGTACAATTTATTGATGGATCACTTTATCAAACAAAAAGACTTTGCATCGGCAGCCAAAGTATCAACTTACATGATGCTACAAGAGTCATTTGAGCATCCAATTAGTAATTCATTGGCAATTTATTCTTGTTTCAAGTACTTAGAGGATCCAGACACCTGGCAAGAAGTAGATCCCAAATCTCAGGTAGAAGAGCCCAAAGAAGAAATCAAAGTACGTGTGCGCTACCTTAGGAATCCTTACTTTGATGATCATTTCGATCTGTGGCAACCATCAGATTTAGTTGGTAAGACTTTATGGTGGATAGGAGCAACGTTAGACAATGCTCTTGGAAGATCTTGTCAGTTAAGAGGCTTAATTTTATACAAAAAGTATGAAGAAGCGATTTCGCTCATACAGAAGTGGATGCAAAGTGGAATCAAAGAAATTGTTTATAAAGATGTGTTGCCTCTCATTAAGAAAGATGTACCAGAAATTTTCAGAGAAGATGCCACTGACAAGACTAAGGAGCTCCAACTACTGTTGATGGATTTGGAAAACGCAGATCTACAACAAGGATGTTTGATCGATGACATTGAGAGCATGATTAAAAAGGCAGTCGCAGATCGTGAACAAGATGACATTTCAAAACAAATTGAGGTATAAGTTTTTTCTTCAATTATAAAATGTCACTTTTTTATATTTACGAATGTTTTCACTTGATGTTTCATTTTATAGCTTTATTCAGTTTGGGAAGAAAAGAGAATACAAATTTTGAATGAAGAATTAGAAAAGATTAATAAGTTAAAGAGATTAGAAGTAGTCAAAGAAATGAAGAAAGATCTTGAAGATAAAGAGCAATTGCTTACATTCTTTGAAAACGAAGAGAGTATTGAATTGGCAATAGAACAAAAACTTCAAATGGAAAAAGAACGCTATGGTGATGAAATGCAAAACATACAAGATAGCGATGAAAATTATATATCCCCAGAAAATGTTAAAAGGATGAAAAGATAATTTTTGACATTTTGTTACTTGTTTCTTTAAAAGTGTGTAAGTATTATGAAATCATTTTTTACGAGATTGTAAAAAAAAAAAAAAAAAATTAAACGACGTAAATCTGAAAAACCTCCACTATTTTAATTGTTTCAAAACTACTGAAAAAATTTTCAATCCCAATCTTGTAAATAAAAGGTATTTTTCGATCTATTAGGCAAATTAAAAAAAATTGTTCAAACTGAATTTATTTACATGTAATATATTTATTTGTATATTATAAAAAAATTTTCAAAAAGTCATTATGTACAAAATCAGTTGTGTTCGTATACTTAGAAGAGTATAAAATTTTCTCCATTGGAAAAAAATTATGGTTTTACTATAAAACGTGCTTTTCTTCGCCGGCCAAAAAAAAAACGTCAGTAGGGTCTATGAGCGACGAGAAAAATCACACGCTAGATGGCGCTGATTGAAGTAAACACTAAAAAAACTTATTTTTAATAATTATTTGCATTATTGTAACTCAATTAATTGATCGTTGTTCTCATTGTCAATCATACTAAGATTTATCACGGCATATTTACACAGTCATGCAGAGTTTTTGCTTTCTAATTGTGCGGTCAACGTCGCAGTCTCCTGTCTCATTTGTTTCAAATCTGCTGTGATTCTTTCCAAATTTGCTCCTATGTTTTTAGCAGATTCCGAGTCAATCTGTAACAAAAAATCGAAAAATTAAATATCCACCAATAATACAACAAACAATCCTATGGAACAACAGCTCACCTGTTCCTCAAGATCTCGAATTTCTCTAACTGTTGCACCAGTCTCCTCTACTAGCCTTATGATCTCGCTACAGTCAGAATGTAACGTTGCAAGTAATTTGTATGCTGTTCTGGCGGTTTCATTGGTTCGAGCATCACGAAATATTAGTTCGTCGACCACCGCGAAAGACCTCTCCAATCTTCCCGAAAGGGTGTTTATTTCTTTTTGTAACTCGCGTGTATCCGCCAGCACCTTGTCTATCTCGTTCTTTTGTTTTCTCACGTTGTTGATGATTTCTAGTATTCGCTGGGTGTACGCAGATCTGTTTACCTCTTTTGGAAGTTTTTGAACTTCGGCTACAAGTTGAGTATACAGTTGATCCTTGGTGCGGCATTCCTCTAGCAATTCCTTTTCTTTTTCCTTGAGAGCGCGAATCTCATCTAGTTTCTTTTGACTATCACTCTGGGTTTCAAAGTTCGGGAAAAAAACGATGTCAAAAAAGGGTAGCATAAAAAAAAAAAGACAACATTTATTTACTTACAGCTTTAGAAGAATACTTTTCTTTTTCATCCCGGTATTCTCTAAGTGCAGGTACCCTGTGCTTTTCCCACTGATTAGCTAAGCTCATCAACTTATTTACACTTGCTTCAATAGCTTCCTCCAATTTTTTTACATTCTCTTCTCCATTCTCAAGTAATTCCAAAGCTTTCAATTCTATTTTCCTCTCTTCTTGCTTAGATGCAATTTCTTTGGACTCTTTTTCTTTAACTGCTGATTGATGTTCTATCTCTAAAACTAATTGTTTCACTTCTTCCTGCAGCTCTTCAATTTCTGATTTCAAAGTTTCAACTTCGTTTTTTAATTTTTCAATCTCTTCTTCTTCATCGATTTCTGGTTTTTCTAATTTTTGGGGTACTTCTTGAGTCTCCGATGTACTCGTTTCTGCAGCTTCTTGATCAGAACTTTTGGTTTCTTTCAATGTTATGCCTCCCATGAGTCTACCGATTAGATGACTTCCAGCTTCTGATGTTTCACTCATTTCCTCTTGTTTTTGAGAGTTCAGCCATTCTATTTTTTCGGTAAGTGTCATTAACGATGCATCTTCATTTGCATGCTCCAGTTTACTATTCAAAGCAATAACTGATGGTATAAGCTGGCTTGCAGATGGTACTTGCTCCAGTATTGACGGCTTGAATTTAATGGTATAATTTTTAGATTCTAAAATGAAAATTCACCTCTTAGCAATGAAAACATAAGACAAAAATATATATACAGGGTAATACATATACATGATCACCCTGTATAAGCGTATTGATACCTTCGTTGTCTTCTGTAAAAGTATCAAGAGGCACGGGTTTGAAAGGAACTGTAATCCTGAAGTTGAATTTTGATCGTTTTTTATGGCAATAGTATGGCAACCATGGCGCTGATATTTCGGACGCTACAGCTGATGATATTACCTTTTCCAACTGAGCACGCTGTGTTATTGGTTCGCTAATACTTTTTTCGCTTTCTTTAGGTAATTTTTCTATCAAAAACATAAAAACCTTCCTGAGGTCAGATTCGGCGTTGTATAAAAAAGTTTGATATCCAATATCACCTGTGTAGCCAAGGTCCTAAAATATTCAATTTTAATTGAAAGTAAGCAAAGCAAACGTACGAAAAAAAGAATTTTTTTTATGATTGATAGGGATTTTACTGAACAGTACTGGGCAAGAGTTGTGCCCATGCGAAACCTCGCTGCCATATTTGCAGGCAGAACAGAATTTAGTTCGAGACCAGGTTTAATAACTTCGAGGCATCTAACGGTTGCTTTAACAACAAGTTCAGTATCAAAACTAGCAATATTTGTTATATTTTCGTCTACATCACTGAAAAGAATACATAAATTATTTAAAAACCACAAATATAATGCAATGAAAATCTCAATACAAATGTAACTCACCAGCCTATTTGACGTAAGGAATGTATGATTATATTGTCAACTTCTTCCATCGTAAACGATGATTCGGCAATTTGAAGAAGAAGAAGAGGAAGAAAATAACAATTGCGAGGAAATCCTTTTAAAAATATGGATGCAATAACTTGCTGCTGCTGCTTATAAGCACTCTTGCGAGAGTTACGGATACTTTGGTCTTCATTTGGTCAGTAAGTATATATTTAAATATTTACTTCAGATACACATGGCCACGGGATTACTCTATATGATACATCGCACTGTTAAATAAATAATTCACAGGACACGGGGGATAAACACACATGAGCAGAGGAGGCAGCTTAGATAACTAAGAGTCTATACAAGGACTTTGTATATGATTATTGTGTCCCGGTGTGATCGATGGGTGTGGGGTGTGGGTGTTACAGCCGATAATCAGCGCCATCTAGCGTGTGATTTTTCTCGTCGCTCATAGACCCTACTGACGTTTTTTTTTTGGCCGGCGAAGAAAAGCACAACTCAGATTTTGCCGTTGAAAATGACATAAAGAAATCTGAGTTGTGCTTTTTTTGTCCCCGTCAAACTGGCTATATTCGACGGGCCGGATACCCTATACGGACATTTTTTTGCTTCGGGCGTCATCGGGCTTCATCGGTAGCCTTCGCTTATATGTATGTATTTCAATTAGCGCCATTTAGTGTGCGATTTTTCTCGTCGCTCATAGACTCTACTGACGTTTTTTAGACGGCGAAGAAAAGCACAACTCATATTTCGCCGTTCAAAATGACATATAGAAATCTGAGTTGAGCTTTTTTTCATCCGGATTGTCTTTTGACTTTTCTTCGTCACTTGAAGCAAAAAACGTCCATTAGAATCCCGGAGCCAAGAGATTTCTCTCTAGAATAATCGCTGTAACTTCTTAAATGGTGCTGATTGTAAACGGTGCCATGAACTGACGGCGGCCACGCATTACTGTAGCGGCAATCGATATGTATATCGAATACCGACATATGATATTTACCGACAGTGATTGACTACCAACAGTACCGACTGTCTGTGGATCGGTATAGCCGGTATCGGCATATCTTAACTACCGATAATTGGTATTCAAAACATGTCCCTAGCCTACTGTCGGTATTCAGTGCGTAAATCACTGCCGGTACACATGATATGTCAGTATTCGATATTATCGCCGCTGCAGTTGCGTACACCGCCGTGACCTATATATATATAGGTATACTCAAGCATCGTTCATCAGTTCATGGCACCGTTTACAATCAGCACCATTTAGCTGGCATTATTCTTGAGAAATCTCGTGGCTTCGAGACCCTACGGACGTTATTTGACTTCAGGTGTGATCTTCAAGAGCAAAGGTCTCCCCCACCGACGAAGCCTAATATCACGCCCGAAGCGAAAAAACGTCCGTAAGGTATCCAGCCCGTTGAATATAGCCAGTTTGTAAGCAGACAAAAAAGCACAACTCAGATTTCTCCATGTCATTTTAAACGGCGAAATCTGAGTTGTGCTTTTCTTCGCCGGCCAAAAAAAAAACGTCAGTAGGGTCTATGAGCGACGAGAAAAATCACACGCTAGATGGCGCTGATTGAAGTAAACACTCGAGCGAGGGCCGCCGACGAAGCCCGATCACGCCCGAAGCAAGAAAACGTCAGTAGGGTCTATGAGCGACGAGAAAAATCGCACGCTAGACAGCGCTGATTGTGAGATCACTTAAAAAAACTTATTATCTTTTGGTTTCGATACATCTTGAACAGCAATTTATCTCGAGTTACGATTGTCTCGAATTATAATCTCGAAAATCTCTTCCAAGAGTTCCAAGTCATACAACCAACCAACCCCTGCCACCTTGGGCCGAGGGGGAAAGACAGACCCTACTCTATTTTTTTCCTTACAACCCCCCCTGAAAAAAAGCATTTTTTAAAAACCGGCAGTAAATGCGGCATGTAGCAAAACTCTTAAGAGGGGAGGGTCGCCTCCGAGCCCCCGGAGGGGAGAGAAACAGAGAAAAAAGCTCACGCACGCGCGGAAATGTCGGAGCCGAACAATTTATAAACTGGCTCCGCTCAGTTTAGTCTTGATGTCGTGTGTTGGTGGAGTACAGATTATCTTTTGCCACTCGCCTCGCTCGTCCCCTTCACAAGTCCGACGCTCTATTCCGTCAACATCAGCAGACCAGAACAAGAGAGAACGAAGCAAAATGTTCTGCTGAAAGAAAGAAACGAGTTGCGTTGGGGGCATCACCAAAAGGAACAGCCAACTGAGCAGCTCGCAGCTCGCATAAAACACTATTTTGATCTCACCGTTTCGGCAGTGTCAAATAAGTGATCGAGTGTTAACTTCCCCTCCCACTAGTGATAACAGAAGTGATGAAATGACAGTGCATGAAAGAGCACCAGCCGAGCTTTGCGGCACGTGAGAAAGCGCGTCTGCTGTTGTTATTGTTGTTGAGAGACGTGCTCTCTGCTATATATAACACACCTCTGTCACCCGCCCGTCAAATCATCGAAGCGCTTCAATAGTGAGCTTGATATTCATGACGTTCTCGCGGTTTTTCCTGTATCGCGTGGGTGTTGTGTGTTTGGTGTGAAAAAATATGATTGTTTTGTTCGTTATTTCAGTGAAACCAAAACATTCGAGTGCGATGTTTAGAAAATAGTATACAACGTAGCAGAAGAAGAAAAGCAAAAAACTGTGTATATATATATATATAAAATTACAGCGAGTGCACGGTTTATGTTCTCGGCAAAGCAAAGCCGCGGAGGCTGCAGGGCCGAGGAATAAAAGAGGAAGAGGCTCCGGAGGAGGATGAACGGGAGCGCGCAGCTGCTGCGCGGCCTGGAACAGCATCCGAATAGGTTCGCCGACTACTTCGTCATCTGCGGCCTCGACAAGGACTCCGGCCTCGAGCCCGACAAGTACTTTGGTGGGTTTTTTTTATTTCTGGGCATTGTTGTCTTTTTTGATTCTTCCCAATACATTTTTACCGCTTACATTGTGTGTGTCGTGAAATTATCGAAACAAGGTGAGTATTGTGAAACGTGTATGTATGTACATGTAAATGTAAGGCCAAAGCTTTGTAGGGTGGAACTCGGAGTCTCTGATAAGGGATGAGATCCGTGATGGTTTTCCACTGTCACTCGTACGATGCGTGCTTTTCGTCGCTTGCGTGGAACAACGTCTCATTTTTAATTACAGAGAGGTACTATTATGATTGTGAGTTTCAATGAGTCAAAACAAATTAATTTCTTGCTTTTCTACATAATGTTCATTAAATCAATTATTTTTTCGCTTGGTAGTTATATTTTTATTGGTTTACAAGCTAACTTATTTTTAAAATTTAACATTGAGATTCTCCAAGAGAACATTTGGAGGTATTAAACTTTAATTTTTACCCCTGTGGTTGAAACTCAAAATCAAGATAGTAATTATCGAGGTAATTATTTATACATATAATATATGTATATACAAAAACTTTATAATACACCCAAGCAACGTTTTTTCCTAGCTTCCTTGTATGTATCAACATGTCCCTTAGCGTAGCTCCGTTTACGTTTATCCTCTTTGGATCATATGTATTACCTTTCGTCTCTCCCAAAGGGAAAAACTCTTCATATTTTTCAAAAGCAAAGTTCTGTACTGTATAGGTACCCTCAACAGTTGTGTGGCATGTGTATACATGAATGTACCTACCTAATACACGTAGGGTGCATTATATACACACGCAACTACTCTTAATATACTACTACCCCGGTGGAGAAAGAGAGGAAGGGAAGAAAATGCTGCCTACCCCAGTTTTTAATACTCATATGTACATATGTATACTCGCATATATATATAGCTGCTGGAGGCTGTGGGTTATTTAGCTTTTCTTCTCTCTTTTCTTTTGTAAGTACTGATGTATGGTCATCATTGTCTTTCTCTCGTTTTTTTATTACACGTTTCACATGCCGTTTCAAAATTGAACGTGTAATTTGTAAAAATATAATTTTAATGTACAACAATGAGGGTTGAAAGTTGTGGGAATTTTCCATTCAATTTAAAAGTGCACACATGGGTTGAATCGATATACTGTAACCTATGTCAAAGTCGTATACGCTTAAAAATAGATTCTTTGCTCTGTCGTCTATTGACCGACTGTATTAAACGTTGTTAAATAATAGGGTAGTATATATAACTTAATGTTAACAACTATTATTGCCTACACACGCAAGTGTTTATGCACGTGTATTAATTTAACATATTTGGAATCTCGATTTTAAAAAAAGTAGAAAAAAAAAACAAACAATTACTACGTTATTGTGTTATTATTATTAGCTTATGGTAAACAACTAAAAGAAAGTGTACACTTATCTTATGGATTTCAGCATCTGGAATTGTCTAACACGTTGTACATTTAACTGCAGTTTTACAATTTTCATTTATCTTTGTACGTCGATGATTTAAAAGACATTTATAAAAGTGACGCTACGCTATACATGTCATATTATATGTATCTCCTTTGTTCTACAAAAGCTCGAATAAACCAGCTCTCTAAACTAAGGGCAAAACATCTCCCTACCCGCATACCTAGTCATCGACTTGCCGATTTACCAATAAAAACAGAGAGCCATCATCAACACCACAAACTCGTTGGTAAATCATACTAAGCCTTCCACATGTATATTATCTTGTAGTAGACAATAATACTCGCACAAAATTGCAAGAGTCGAGCAGAGAGAGGGTGTTTGTTGATTGCTTCTTAACTCTACTATTTTTTATATTTTACCGCTCTCCCTCTATCTCTCTTTAGTTTTCGCTCCAGTTCTGCGTTATCCGGCAACTCACAGCCTGCAAAGAGAAAACGGTCTTTATGTTTTTTTTCTTCGCGCTGCTTACACAGATAATTTATGAATAATGCAGTGTGGCGCGAGAACAATGAGCACGTGTATAGGTACTTACTGGATCTCATTTTTTTCTGCGAAAGCTAGTGCATGTTTTAAGAGTTGATATCAGTACATACACCTATACTTAAAAATATATCTTACGTATCGAGGTTCTCTTGATGAATATGAGCGAGACTGTAAACAATTGCAATGGGAACAAGGAGAAAAAGGAACACTAATAAACAAGTAAATACGTGATCTTGTATTAACTTAAAACATTTATGTTATACAAGTCTGCAATAATTGAAAATAAAAAAAAGCCATTTCAGAGAGTGTTTTCCATCATAAGAAAAAGAAAAGGGCCTGTTATTCAAAAAACTTTTCCCAATAATAATTTTAATTCTAAATTTAATTTTTCTTATTCTAGCGTTGCGTGTGTGCTTACTAAGTAACCCTCTACGCTTATATTCACACCCAAAAAAAGGGACGTTTCTATTGCTCGTCGTTGCGCAATAAAATATCGAATCAGGTATAATTTTTCCGCTTATTTCAATAACTTACCCAAAACGACGAGAAACAGTTTAAGTATTTGTTTTCTTTCCCTGATACACATTACGTAGATGCGCGCAAACGCAACATTGCAATATTACGTTATTGAAACAGTTATGCGTTCACCACACCAGAGTGCAATGATTATGCACGATACCGATGTTGTTATTTGCTTTAGCGAGCATTGCGTTATATTCCTCTTGGCAATCAAATAAATCACCCCCTCAGAGTTGAGTAACTGGAATTCAGGCCGTATACTCGCGTGCTAGAAGCATACAATAAATACACACGCGGGTGAAATTAAATTAATTTTTATTGCGTGTGTTGTACAGTACGTGCATGAGTGTGTGCGGGGGAAATTCTGGCATCGCGACAAGTTCTTGTCATCCACGTGCGTTTGCAGTGGTGTATATATACGCTTGGTTCTTGGACCGAAACAATGGCTCTCGACTAGACTTGATTGCAAAAATCTTTACCAACAAAAAAAAAAAAAATACGATTGCACGAATTTCCCAGCGCTTCGTGTCCTCACCTCCTGGTGGCCAAAGTTTAATTAGAGTACAAATTATACACAGAAAGGTTCGTTTCGTAGGAGCCTCATTATTTTACTTGGGAGAAGAGAAAAAATATTTATCTCTACGTGCAGCTCATGTGCATGTATATGTTTTAATAGCACACGCGTCACGCGGCCTTATTCGAGTGACAAGCAAAATGTTTAACACTCTTCTTCTCAAAAGAAAATCTAAACTCGCTGGGAAAAATTCACTCCAAGAGGCATTGACAAATAAAAAGGAGTACTTATACGTCAAAATTTGCTTGTACCAAGGATCTTTCGGACAAAAAAAAAAAAAAAAAAAAAATATCGAAGGGAAAGGAAGTTCTCTAAAATAAGCACCGAGTGAGGCCGAGCGCGCGCGCTACTGCCAATAGTGCCAATCGGCTATTTAAAGCCGGGGCAGACGCGGCAGTGGTGGTGGCGACGAGCTCGGGTAGCTTCATTGAACCGGAACGCGATGGTCTGACCTTTGTACGAGTCGTACAACTTATGTAGGGAGGTACGGTCAATGTGAGTGTGCGCCCAACAGCAGCGCTGTTTCAAGAGCACGTTACAATATACAGAACTTGGCCACTTCGACGATATTGTGGTGGTTGGTGTTTTTTATGGGACGACGAGGAGGTTGTATATGCTACTGGTGGTTGACAGCGAAATCGGAATAGCTTGGCTGTGTTTTTTAATCTATTACTCACATATTTTTATATAAATGATGACGATGATGAATCGTGTGCGTCTTTGATTAAAGTTTATTTTTGGTCAAGTTTTTATGTAATACTTTGCATTCAATCACTAAGATTATTGATTATTCCTACAAAGCCTGTTGAAGGAGTTGAAGGTTAAAATAAAAAAAAAAAAAATGTATATTTGACGGGTTTAAGGGATAGTGTTTGTGTATACTATTTTTTTTTTACATTTTAATTGTTTAATCAATACATCATTTTTGTAGTCACAACAATTAAAAATCATTTTAATCGAAACAATTAATTCAATATCTAAAAAACTTGTTCCACTCGGTAAATTCAATGATAATAATTGCATGAACGAACACCTCAAAACGTACACCAACTTCTCTTCTCTTTACCCGAGAATCCGTATAGATAAACCCCACCAAACTATGAGACGAAATACAACTCTGCAGTGTCATCAGTTACTTTCCTATTATACCCACCAGCAGAGACAGCGAAACTGCATCCACTGAGAGCTCTTGATGAGGAAAAAAAAAAAAAAAAAAAAACAGCTCATCTCTGCGTTATGAGAACAAGAGCCCCTTCCCCCAGCCCTACGTCATCCTCGGTAGGGTCTTTTCGTCACGCGCGATATCATATATACATGCGGGAGCTACACGTGTGTAACAAAGAGATGATCTTTCGTATATATACAACACTTGTGGGTACATATATAACACACACTCACCTATGGGCTCGTATAAGATTCCGCGCCCTGTGGGAGCCCTCCAAGCAACGGAGGGATGACAGACGCGAAGGATCAAGGATACATACCTACATGGGTATACAGCATCCCGCCGAGACGCTTCCGGAGTAAGGGTGTTTCGTTCTTTTTCTTTTACTACTTCTTCTTTGCCCAGGCGCGAAATTCCGCGAACGACGTGTTTGGTTTTTTTTCCTTCCTCCCCCCCCCCACGTATACCTATATACAATAGTGGGTGAAGTTTCGTTTCTTTCCTCTGCACACATTCGTTGGGAATACGAATGCGCTTAACCGTTCAGCGAGAGCTGAGAGCTCGCCTTTTTTTTTCTCTCGGCTTTGAGGGCTGCTTTGGAATTTTTTGTCATTCAATTCCAGCCGGGGGTTTCAAAGGTGGTGGAAATAATTTTTTTTCTTTGTTTTGTGCTTTAGAAGAAGGTTTTTACTAATGTGTTTATGCACGATTTCAGTATGCATTCATGTGTATGTATTGCATGACACAGATTTTGAAAGTATTTACATTTATGTTTT